TCGTAGCGATCGTCACGTATGTCTCGAGAGGTCCACGGCTGATCTTGTTGCAGACTGTACTAGAAGTCTCTTTGGAAATACCCTCGGAATCGTATAAAAATTTATCCAGGCTAATTCATGTTAAGGATATCCTCGGTTTTTTCTTCCTTATCATCCAAACATTAATATTATTCGTCAAGATATCTCTGAAACATATCTTGTTAACAATATTTCCAACATATCTTTCCTTAGTGCTGTTTCAAATGGATATGCTGTACATGAATTGCGTTTGTCTATTGAAAGTCTGTTTCAAGAAAATTAACGATAATTTGACGAAAGTGCAGGAACTCATAATGAGCGATAAACCTCATCTACTCAGACGAATCTATCACACGCAGAAGAATCCATTTTTGCTGATGAAACTTAAAGCCCTGAAGAAGCAACATCTGATGGTCAGCGACACAGTGCAGATGCTGAATATGATTTTCAGTTTGCAGATCATCGGTACCATAGTCATAAGTTTCTCTCAGATCACTTTTAACCTGTACTTCTATATAGTTATGTCCATGGCCAATGAAGACAAAGTATTTTGGTACGCATTTTTTATGACGTCCGTGATATACTATATTATAAAAATAGTATTGATGGTATGGGCTTGCAATAGTGGGACAGATCAAGCTGCGAAGATTGGTATCACCGTTCACGATTTGATTAACAATACCAGTGATAAGCAAATCAAAGACGAGGTAGTAAAATGTAATTTAATTTGTACAATCCTATGTATTTAATTTGTATGTTTTCATAAAAATCCTTAAAGTACTAATGTATTTTATGTATTAAATCGTCGCATTAATAATTACATTTCCTAATGCTGCACCTACTTATTATTTTATTTATTTACTGACTATTATAATGTTACAGCTGCAACTATTTTCTATGCAAATACTGCATCGAGAAAACACATTCTCTGCAAAAGGTCTCACTGTGGATGCAACGCTTCTCGCTGCGGTGAGTAGCCAATTATTTGCTTCAAACAATTAAATGCGTATTGTTGATTTTTATGATTTTTTTCAGATGGTGGGTAGCATTACTACGTATCTATTAATCTTAATACAATTCTTGGTCACATCACATTCTTGCGATGGACGAGCTGTCAGTATTAGAGAAATAGCCTAATAAGAGAAAGTAGAAAACAAAATATAATCAAAAAATAGTTTGTGGTTTTAAACGCTCTAAAAGCATTATTTTATTCTTATGAATATATTTGTATTTTATATCTGCATATAGACAATTATACATATGTATACACGTATATAGCGACATCTAAAAAAAATTTTATATCACGTATTATATTGACAAAAAGTTTCAAATAATATTTTAATAAGTTTTATCTTAATTAATGTATTTTTTAAGTGTACTGTGTTAATTATATCAAATAAATTTCGGAAAATTGTCGCGTTGGACTTATAAATGTCTTATACCCGAACGGCCTACACTGCAGAAATGGTTGCAAAGTGTGTAGCATATAAAAAAATTTCCATGTATTTTTTATTAATACTATAAAATGCTAGTTTTTTACGTATTGCTAACGAATAATCTGTGGTATTTTTGTTTATCATCTTGCTTGCAAAGTCATAAAGTTTCTCTCGTCTTTCTGAAACTTCATAACAATATCACTGTTTCTGAAAATGCATGTAATTGCATTTTTATAGCTCTTTAAAGTACAATATTACATACAAATCAAGTTTAGATTATTATGTTTTAACAGATACACAAAAACAATTTGTAATACATGTTTGTCTGTATAAGTTAGATAGAGTTGAAACCAAACGTTGATAGCAATATATTTTTTATCGGCCGAAAAATGTGCGTCAATATTTTATAATAAATTAGAAGTATAAAAATTTCTATTATATAAATTAAAAAGTAAAATATCTTCAAAAAAGTAACAGGATAATTATAGATATCAAACATTGCATCTTCTATGGAACTTAAAATTCGATAATAATTATAAATGGATTCTAATGCATATAAACGTAATGCATTTGATACTCGCTATTACACATGCGCAATATACATATGATTTAATAAGTCGCATGTTACAACATTATTACTTTAAATGTAGAATTTCAGAACAATATTTGCCGATCAAAGAGTGCCATGGTTACTTTAAACCTAACACATGATCCCTTTAGTTCTGTTTCGCTAGTTAATGTAACACCTGCTCGCAGTCTTAAATTGAAAGTCACCGAGTGTACAGCAAGGAGTCCACATTGTTGTACATACTCTTGTCGTCGAAAAGCTAATTGAATATTTGTATTTATAACACAGCTCTCGCAAGCTTGTATATAAACGCTAAAGTGTATAAATAATACTATCATCTATGGCTTAAATTATTATTCTTCACAATACTTTGATCATGTTCAGCTCATCGTCAAAGTTCCAAAAACAACCCAAGGGTAAAATGTGGAAAAGATGGCAGTTATTTCACGCTTCAGATTTTCAGTCTTTGATGTATCCCTGCTTCATCTTCTGCAGCATTCTCGGAATATTTCCGTACAAGATCAACGCTTCGTCCTTCGAGACTTCTAGACTGCGCTACATTCTGCTGACCTTTCATTTCTGTGTGTTCTGCAGTTATGATCTTATAATTCTCCATAAAATTATCACCAAAACAATTGATTACGGAGATGAAACCAAGACTCTTGAAGCTACCAGTTATTATATTTTCGGCGGTTTCGTAGTAATCATTACGTATATTTTAAGCGGTCCTAGAATGCGCGTACTACAGGCCATGCTGAAGATCTCTTCGAGACTCCCTCCAGAATCGTATCAGAAGCTGTCCAAGTGGATCCACCTAAAGGACATCTTAGGCACCTTCTTCTTAGTCATGCAGGGATACATATATTATTCCAGAGGACCTGAATATCTCGTGTATTATGTGTTAGCAGCGTACATCGGTCTGCTAATGTTTCATATGGATATGCAATATGTAAATTGCGCTTGTGTATTAAAGGCCTGTTTCAAAAGAATTAATGACAATTTGATGCACTTGCAAAATGTCGTGGTAAATAATGAACCATATGCCCCGAATTTGATCTGCGACACGCAGAAGAATCAATTTTTGCTGATAGAACTCAAGACATTGAAAAAGCAGCATTTAATAGTGAGCAATACAATGCAAATGCTGAACGTAATCTTCAGTCTACAGCTTCTTGTTACTATAGCCTTGACCTTTACTGATATCACTTTTGATGTGTATCGTCATGTAACGCAATGGCAAAATGGGTTGTCCATCATTTTTAATGATAAGGCTCGTGATCCATTCTTCTTAATGTCTCTAGCATACGAGCTTTTAAAATTAATATTGATAGTTTGGGTCTGCGAAACCGGAAAGAATCAAGCATTTGAGATCGGCACCACTGTTCATGACGTATTTAACTGCACCAGCGATGAGCAAATCAAAGAAGAGGTAGAAAAAATATGTAGTCTAATTTGTATATATTTTACTCTAAAAATATCTCGTGCTAATGTAATTTTATATACATTAAATCAACTTGATTTATGTAATTACGTTTTCCAATTCTTCATTTTGCGATCCAATGTTATAGCTCCGGTTATTTTCCTTGCAAATATTGCATTGCGCACGAAGTACATTTGCGACGAAAGGTCTTTCCGTGGACGCAACGCTTCTTGCTATGGTGGGTAATAGATCATTTGCATTAATAAAATATACATTGTTTACTCTTTTCTTCACTTTTAGATGACGGGTAGCATTACGACTTACGTATTAATTTTGGCACAATTTATGGTCATGTCGCATTCTTACGATAGAAATACTGGAAGCAATATTACCCAAATAACCTATTTTGAAGAAGATACATAATAAAAAAAAGGAATATCTTTTTCTAGATATTAGAAATACTCTCTTCTCTATCGTTGTGACTAAAATATAATTATATGATGTTTGATGTCTAAAGACGTTTATGTGTATAAGTATATGTATAAAGAAAAATTATTTTAAAATTCTTTATTACGTACGTTAACAATCAGTTGCAAAAATACATGTTTAATATCTTTAAATTGTTTAAATGTATTGTATAAGACGTTGCAAATACATTTCTATGAAATATCTTTTTGTATTCATTAAATATCTTACATAGTCTTAATCTTGCGTTAAAATTAAAACAAAGATGCAAATATCATTCAATTAATTTAAAATAAACTTTATTTGTGATAATGCATGAATAAATATAACCGCAAATAAGTGCATAACAAATGAACTTATTGTGGAAAGCTCGGTCAAATTCTGCCGCGTGATCGATAAACAATACTTTTACTTTTGAGGAAATGAGTTTTTTTGAAATCGTTTTTTATCTTGCTTTTAATAAATTAATAAAATAATTTTCGGGATCCATGTGTGATTTTACCGATATTTTATTAATTTTATCTTAGGCGATTTTCTCATTGTTATGTCTAAATATATTAGATGTAAACATGATCATTATATCTTCATCGATGGCATGCCTTCGGATATTGCCCCATGGAATACAGAAACTCATGAATATTTACAGCGCGTTGCATACGGCTCGCTCCAGATACTTTATCCAGAATATAAAACCTAATCCTTCTAACAAAATGGAAATTAGCCTACATTATTGACTTATATCCGGAGCGAAATAAATTATTCAAATAAACAATCAAAATCATCCGAGGATAACAATCAAGTAAAAATAAAAACTATAGGTAAGCAATCCATAATAAGATAATACATATAAGAACTAATTATTTATTGAGATTAAAGAATAAAATATATATGAAAGAAAATAAAAGAGAAAAACGTATTCTCTTTCAATTACGAAATCATTGAACAATTTGGATATACCGACAATTTTCTTACGGTAAAATTAATTTTTAATTGCTCGAGCAATTTATAAGTGAAAGAAGAATATATAATAATTGCTCTTTTAGTTAGTTATTATTTATTAGTAATTAATTACTTCTTATCTTATTAGAGATATCTTTGATTATGGCTATTTAATATTTAAATTGAATTATTGTTATTATATTTCAATTGCTTTCACACACATTATTTTTCATGGAAAGTAATCTATTTATATTTAAAATTAATTTAATATTTACTTTAGAAATATATTGATACTTTAAAAATAAATGAATTTAATATTAACTTTTAGAAACGGTTAAAATATAGCTTATAAAAATTTTCTTGAAAGACATAAAACGTAGTTGATGCATTATCACAATAATGAAGTCCGCGCTTTTTGCTACTCGATTTTAGTTTATTGTAACATACAAAAAATCAATCATCTTAAGATAGTTTCTTGTCCATAAAACATGACATATCTGTTTCATCAGTTCGAAGAATACATCAATTATTTCAAATATACATTATTACTTAAATTAATTATAATTAAAATAATAGCATTCTCTATATACATTATGGCTCGATTTATCAATATTACATTTGTTATGCTTACAATTCCCACTGAGGCATCACTGACAATGAGATATCAGTGACTTTCAAAATGCGCGCAACAAAATTTAATAGTATTTTAATACAATATTATGCAAAAAGTTAAAAATTTAAATTATTATATTTTAACAGGCTTATAAAAATAACTTTAATTACACAATCAACTATTGAACTAGAAATGAAAAATAAATGACAACTTGTCTTTAATCAAGCTAAAAAACTGTGATAGTAATTTTCTATATTGAAAATTACGGTAATATATATTATAAAGCAAAAGCATTAAATTTGCAGATTATAACATTCTTAAACATTCAGTATGTACAACAAAAAGTATATAGATATATGTTATAGAATCAGTTAATTGTTATTAACTGATTTTTATTAATAAGCGTTATTAATGTACGTAGATATTGATCATTTCTGTATTGTATATATGTGCACATAAAAGAGAGAGAGATTGCTGTATTCCTAGTATGTCATAGCAATAAAGTATTATTACTACATGTTGCACTTTTTTAAGTGCAGATCGATGAATATCATGCAAAACATATAAAACCATGGTTACTTCACTGCTAACATATACGATCTCTGAGTTATATATATCGTTGCTCGATGCAGCAATTGCAGTTTTAACTTTATGCTCGCCGAATGTAGAACAGCAACCATCCGGTTTACACTTTCGTTATAAAAAAAAAATAAATTTAAGACGAATACAGTAAAAAGAGTAAAACTAACTTAAAAAAAAAGCTTTTGCGATCACATTTACATTAATGCTAAAATGCAGTGCTAAACGTGATTAAGAATTTGTAATTGTTCTCTAATACTCCGATGATCATGTTTAACTCGTCACCGAAATACCAAGGCCGACATAAGGATATAAAAAAGGGAAAGAAATGGCGGATCTTTCAGGCCACCGATTTTCAATCCTTGATGTATCCCTGCTTCACCTTCTGCCGCATTCTCGGAATATTTCCATACAAGCTCAATGCTTCGACATTTAAGATTTCCGGACCGCAATACATTCTGTCAACCGTCATTATTGCCATTTGTTGCATCTGCACACTGATATCGCTGTACAATGTTAACATATTTCTAACCAATGTTAACACATTTATGATCGATAGGGTACGTATTCCCGTAATTCTTGAGTCTGACTGCTATTACGTGCTCAGCGGTTTCATAGCAGTTATCACGTATATCCTAAGCGATCCACGAATGCGCTTACTTCAGTCTGTGCTGGAAATCTCTTCAAGATTATCCCCGAAGTCGTATCAGAAACTATCCAAGTTGATCCACACCAAGGATATCCTCGGATTCTTTTATCTAGTTGGGCATGCGCCGACATATTACTTTGTGATGCGTGATGAGACTGTCTTACTCATGACATTCAACGTATACATCTATATGCTAGTGTTTCAGATGGACATGCTGTATGTAAATTGCGTTTGTATATTGAAAGCTTGTTTCGAAAGTGTCAACAACAATCTAGCGCACATGCAAGAATTCGTGATCAAGAATGAGAAACACGTCTTCGAACTCATCTATCATGAGCAGCAAAATCCTTTTTTATTGCTAAAGCTCACAGCTCTAAGGAAACAACATCTTAAGATCATTGACACAGTACAGACGCTGAACATGATCTTCAGTTTACAGCTTCTTGCTACAGTAGTCATAACCTTCTTAGAAATAACTTACAGCTTGTATTTCTATGTACTATGGTGTCAAGGGAAATGGTTCATGATCAATACGAAAATTTATTATGCATTCTTTATTCCATACGTGGCACATTTCATTATAAAAATAATATTAATAGTATGGGCCTGTGAGACAAATAAAAATCAAGCCCTGCAAATAAACACTACCATTTACGATGTGTTTAACAGCACTACCAATGAGCAAATAAAAAACGAGGTAATGTAATAAAAAATTATTTTCTTTAAACATTACTAGAGTTTCGTGTGCTAAAACGTTTTATTACATCTATTGGATATATTTATGTATTTCAATTCAATATGTGATTATTTCGCGATTGCAGCTGCAATTGTTTTCCTTGCAAACACTGCATTGCAAAAATACATTTTCCGCGAAAGGTCTTACTGTGAATGCAAAACTTCTCGTTGCGGTGAGTGATCTATCATTTGTTATTAATTAATATGTATATTTTGTACCTGTTCGAATACGCGTGTGATTATGATTGCAGATAGTAGGTGGCATCACTACATATATATTAATCTCCATACAATTCTTGCACATGCAGAATTCTTGCTACCAGAAGACGTCAAGCAATATTACGCAAAAAATCGACACAGAGAAAATTATATATTAAATATTACTATGATATCTCATTAACTGCGGGCCATCAAGAATTTATATGGCCATTGTTTTAAAAACAATTAAGCAACGCAATTTTTACGCTTTCTCGTAGTAAAAATCAAAGCAAAAACTTGCTGGAAAAAAGTTAGAATTACAAAGCGAAGTAAAAAATATGTACCGAATAAATTTTTTCTGTACACCATAATAAAAATTAACTCTTTCCACTTTAAAACAGCGTTCTCACAAAAATTACTTTATTCATAAAAAGCAGTGTTGCCATAGTAAAAATTACATGAAGATCATGTAAACATTTTAAATTCGGTAACTCATTGTTAAAAATTCGAGGAGAAGGGGAAAGGAATAAGCATTACTTGCAAGATCTTGTCGAGCATGATTTTTGTTGAATAAGTAAACGCGACAGTGAGCTAGAAATGTAATATATGCCATTTAATTTTTAATTGTTTTTAATTTTAATTTGATTTTATAAATAAAATCTTCACCTTGTGCGCCCAAGTAGCGCCTTTAGGCGTTCTCATTATTCTCATTAACTTTATTACATATTTAATTTTAAAATATATTTAATATTATTTTATATTGTGTTGATATATAAATCTTATTCGTATATCAACGGTGCTATCTGAACACAAGATGAAGATTTTATTTAATGAATCAAATCAAAGTTAAAAATGGTTAAAAATCAAATGGCGTATATTACGCTCCTAGCTTTGACTGCCGCGTTTAATTATTCGACAAAATCGTTCATGCTCGACAAGATTAGTATTCATTGTATATCACTGTATTGAAAGTAGACAATACCTAATAAAATAAGCTTGTAAAATTTATGGAACGGGGAATAATTTATAGCAAGTTAGCGCTAAATATATATATTCAATAATAATAAGTGCATTATCTAATAATGATTTGCATACGTTCTCGTTCAGTATAAAAATACAAAAAAAATTGATTTTGATCAAGAAATCGATAACTAAGAAAGAAACCCATTATGCCTTATACACATTTTTAATTTAGTCTATCCGATACTTTCACATTAAATTAGAAATTAACATAATTATATTTACGTTACGTTAGCTTTGTAATTAGAAAAGGACTTTATCTTCATTTTAATTTAATTATTTTACATTATCTTATATTATAATAAATAACATAATTACATTTTAAGTGTGTTTTATATTCAACATATATGAGAACAATTTGAACTACTTCTTAAAAATATATATGCAATTTGAGTTTATCAATTGATAATTTATTAAATTTTCATTGAGAGACATGTTGTAGACGCATTATCATAATGAGCAGTTTTTCGCTCATCTCTATTTCTTTTTTACTGTCTCTAAAGTATAAAAGATCATACATCTTTAGATAATTTGATGGCCACATGTTGTGACGTACCAATATTTTTTAATTTTTATTTTATGCCTAATGCTTCCTAGCTTATATTCATATGCATATTATTCGCCGATTAGACATGAACGATAGTCGTATGTCAGCAATTACTTTAAATGTCCTTTATATCTTAGAAGTGATAAATGATGATTGAAAGACTTGTTTGAAAAACTCATTGTTACTTCGTGTAGTTAACAAATATGGTTTCTCAGTCGTGTCTTACTATTCGATGCAGCAACTAACTGCAGTCTTTAATACACCAGTAGTAAACAGTTTGTAAACAAACTACGACTAGTGCATGTCGATTTATATACTTGTGGTGAAAAATTCAAAATTAAAGACTACGCATTTGAAAGAGAAGCTTCTTGCAATAAACTTATGTTAACATTAAAATGCATTGATAACGATGGAGTACTTAATAAATTTAAGTAATAGTCTGTTATTAATATACATATTAAACTGTTGTTTTCTTATGACATTTCGTTAATTATATTTAATTTGTCGCAGAAATTTCAAGGATGAGCCAAAAGCATAAAAAAAAGGAAAAAGATGGAGAATAGTTCCACGTCACGGAATCCTTGATGTGTGTATCCTAACTTAACCATAAGGAAAAGTCTCGGAATATTTCCATACAGAATTAAGGTTACGTTTTTCGAGCTTTCTAAATCGCGTTAGATTTTGTGGACTATTATTTTTTGTGTGATCTGTGTTTGTAAGCTGACATTGTTGTATAAACTTAATCTTTCTGGAACAATCAGGTTCGACATACGCAATATTATTTCGCTTAATTTCTCTTTTATCTACGGAATGTTCATACCGATCTCATATATATCTTCAGTGGTCCGCGAATGCACTTACTCCTTATATCAGATATTTCTTCGAAACTGCCTCCCCCCCCCCAGTCATATCGCAAACTGTTCAAATTGTAAATAAAAAGTAAGCGATAAAATAAGTTTGTAAAAATTTATTTAAAAAATAATAATTTATGCAGGTAGATACACTAATGCTAGATACATTAATAATGGGTATATAACGTCTGTAATAATTAGTATTATTTCAATGATAATTCGCACATGGTAACAACCTCGAATAACAAAATAACGGTTTATTCAATGTGAAAACACAAAGGAAAATTAATCTATATTTAACGGAAAATTATTAATTTGTTCGTATCAATTATAAAATAATTTATAATTTATAAAAACATAATACACACATTTTGAATTGACTCTATTATTAATTTATTTTTATTCTACGTCGATCGTTCAATTACACACAAAAATCATCTTCGCCTTATAGTAATATATTTTTTCTTGCGATTGGAAAGTAAATAATTAAGTAAATAATCTCTGTTTTTCTTTTTAGTTCGTGCTTTTGCAGATTGCAAACGTAAACAGCTTCTCTTTACAAAAGATTACTCTGCAATTATATTATCTTAACAGATAATAGCATTATCTTTGTATTATAACTTGATTTATGCCACTTGCGACTTTTTCTATTGCGATATTAGTATTTTTTAAAACAGATATAATACAACGATACTAGTAAGATATTAGGTACGTGCAAACAATGTTTAATTAATTAGAAATTTATGTATTGCAATACCGTTATTACAAATTATGTTTGGAGATTAATATGGATGATAATATATTTTTAATGGAGTGAAAAATATATATCAGTATTTTTATATTAAAAATTGCGATAATAAATATTAAAAATCAACATTATTAATTATAAATGCAACACATTGTAAATATTAACGTTATGATATATAAATGTTAAACGTCTTAATTTATAATAAGATAGTGTTCTTTAAAAGTTCTCAAAGCTATTTTAATCTATATAGATTCTAAGTGGTTTTAATTTTCACGATCTTAATGTATTAGATAATGATTCAACAATTATTTTATTAGCTTATATGCGCATGCGGCCCAGGAGAAATGCTGATCGAAGAAAGCAATTTACTTCACAGCTAACAAACGATCTCTGAGTCTTGTCCCGCTATTCAACGCGGCAACTACGTTTTGCAATGTAGTTTTAAATTTAATTCGCCGGATATAAACTATCACGCGCAGTGCATATCGATTTACATACGTGTTGTGAAAAGACGAAATTTAAGACAACTCACGTGAAAATAACGCTCGTATAAATGTTAAAGTGCATTAACGACAAAGTAATTAATAATCTCTAAGCACTAATTTATTATTAATAAAGTTGTTGTTTTCCAATAAAATTCTGTTGATTATGTTTAATCCGCAGAAATTCCATAAACGAGCCAAGAGGAAAAAAAGATGGCTATTCCACGCCACGGACTTTCAATCCTTGATGTATTTCAACTTCACTTTCTGCAAAATTCTTGGAATATTTCCGTACAAGATCGAGGCTTCGACTTTTGAGACTTCCAAACTACGATACATTCTGTGGATTATCGTTGCCTGTGCCGCCTGCATTTATGAGCTAATGATGTTCTATGTACTCAACTTTTCTGGAAGAGTCAGACTTGAAGTGCCCAAAACTATTACGTATAATATGCATTTTCTGCTTGGGATATTCATAATGGTTGTCTGGTATGTTTTGACCGGTCCGCGAATGCGCTTGCTCCAGACTGTACAAAAAATTTCTTGGAGATTGCCCCCAAAGTCGTATCAGAACCTCTCAAAACTAATTCATGCCAAAGATATTTTCGGTTTTCTCGTTCTATTGTGGCTAATATTAATGGTATTTTTAAACACTTCTGATATGGTTATTGATACCTTGTACGAACCATTCAGAGTGTATATCGCCATGATAGCGTTTCAAATGGATATGCTATATATGAATTGTGTTTGTGTCCTTAAAGCTTGTCTCAAAGAAATCAATAACAATCTGGAGAACCTGCAAGAATTCGTAGTGAACGATATCTCCAGACGGGTCTATCATAAGCAAAGAAATCCATTTCGACTGATAGAGATCATAGCTTTGAAAAAGCAGTATCTGGCAATCAACGACGCAGTACAGATGCTAAAAATGGTCTTCAGTTTGCAACTTCTCGTTGCCATAGTCATGGTCTTCAAGCAGATCACTTTCTTTCTGTATTTTCATGTAGTGCAGTGGCAAGGCGAGATATCCATTCGTTTGGATAAGCAGATTGGTATTGAATACTTCGTGTCGTACATAACGTATTATCTTTTAAGAATAACATTGATAGTGTGGGCTTGCGAAACCGGCAAGAATCAAGCTGTAGAGATCGGCACCACCATTCACGAAGTACTTAATATCACCAATGATGAGAAAATAAAATATGAGGTACGTAATAAAGAAAAATTTCATATAATCTTTAAATCTTTAAAAATATTTAGTGCGCTATGCAATTTTTATATTAAATCTAGTAAATTTAGAAATAAGTTTTCTAATCTTATCTATTCTTTGATTTGTCATTGCAGTTACGACTATTTTCCTTGCAAATATTGCATTGCGATAATACTTTTTCCGCGAAAGGTCTTACTGTGGACGCTAAGCTTCTCACTGCAGTAAGTAAATAATAATTTTTATTATCTTAATTTGATTAAATATATATTTTTTTATTTTTAAATTTTAATTTTAGATGGTGAGTAGTATCGCTACATATCTATTAATCTTAATACAATTTTTGGGTATGTCGCATTCTTACAACGGAAAGACTGCAATCAATGTTACAGAAGTGATTTAATTTAAAGAAAGTACATAATCAACGCGTTGTATTGTAAGTATTGTAAACTTTTAGTTTTTATATATTTTCTGTCGTTGTAAGTAGAAATACAATTGTCCAATTTTTCTACTTCTATAGAGACATATATATATACGTATCTATGTATAGATACAAATATATTACGTATATATTAACAATTAATGACACAAATGGAATGTTAATATATTACTTGATTGAGTGAACCTTATCAAAGATGTAATAAATAAACTGAAAAATATTGCATTTTCAATTAACTTTCTTTCAATTAAGTTTTTCTATGTATTATTCTTCATAAAAAATAATAACCATTTTTAATATAAATGTAACATTTGAAAGCAGTTTGAACAACTGGATATGCAAACAGTATCTTTGTTTTAAATTTCATATCTTAATAAAAAATAAATTTTTAAGTTATGGCATAACAATAGCATACATCCTTGATTACAATTGGACAATTGTTATTAAAAACGCTTCGAATACCACTAATTCATATTGATATCATATAAATATAGATAATACTTTCAGATAATACTTTTTTTATGTATGTCCACATAATTTGTCTCATACGTAATAATCTACATATGCTGGATGGTATGTCGTATATCATAGCGACACTTCATTACTTTATGCGCTATATCTCAAGGATGATAAGTATTGATCGAAGAACGTTATTTCATTATTCATTTAATTACTTCAAGAATAACAAATAATTCTTGAACTCTGTCTTATAACTCTATGCAGCTACGTGCAGTTTTAAATTTAAACTCGTCAGGTGTAGTTCGATAAGGTGGAATACGTGCTAGTTTGTGCATTCGTAAAAGTAACGATCTTGAAGATTATACTTGGAAAAGAAATATTCGCAATCATTTTATTAATACCACAAAGCGTGTATCGATAAGATAATAATTACTGAACTATTGTCTATAATTTAAATTGTAATTTGCACGTGACATTCCGCTGTTCATGCCCAATCCGTCGTGGAAATTCCAAAGACAAGTCAAGAGTAAAATGTGGAAAAGGTGGAAACTGTTCCACGCTACAGACTTTCAATCTCTGATGTATCCCTGTTTCACTTTCTCTCGCATTCTTGGAATATTTCCGTACAAGATCAACGCTTCGATCTTCGAGGCATCAAGATCGCGTTACATCTTATTAACTATCATTACCTGCGTCATCTGCGTTTTTCAACTGGCAAAGATCTATGAAATCAATATATTGACAGCCAGGGAGACGACGGTATCCCAAAAAATTCAGGACAACTGTTTTTCTACGTTTCTAAGTTTCACAGTAATCGTCTCGTCCATTTTGAGTGGTCCACAAATGCGTTTACTACAGACCATATTAGAAGTCTCTTCAAAATTGCCTCGGAAATCTTATGAGAAACTATCAAAATTGATACACGTCAAGGATATTTTCGGTTTCTTCTTCTTAGTAGGCCAATTGTTGCTGACATTTCTAAAGTTTGCAAAACGACACAGAGATAACATTACTTTCACTTATTCAACAGAAATAATGGAATATTACATCGATCTTCAGATATTTCAAATAAATATGCTATATGTCAATTGTGTTTGTATATTAAAAGCCTGTTTCAAAAGAATCGATGACAATCTGACGAATCTACGAGAGCTCATGATAAACGATAAGTCGCATGTTCCTAGATTGATTTATTACCAGCAAAGAAACCTACTTCTGCTAGAAGAACTCAAGACTCTAGAAAAGCAGTATCTGATGGTTAGCGACACAGTGCAAATGCTGAATATAATTTTCAGTCCGCAGCTCCTCGCAACCATCGCTATAGCCTTCATCGAGATTACTTTCGAAATATACATGCACATAGTGCAGTGGAAAAACGGGCTGTCTATCAATCTGACTAAGCAGATTCATAACACATTCTTCCTATCTTATATGTTGTATCATGTTACAAAAATAATGTTAATAGTGTGGGCCTGCGAAACCGGCAAGAAACAAGCCGCCAAAATTAACACCACTGTTCATGATGTTCTTAACAGCACCAGCGACGAGCAAATAAAAAATGAGGTACTAATAAAAAAATTTAACTTCTACATATTTTTTAAAATGTATCATATGGTAATATTTTTTTTTTACATAAAAGATAGTCGATTCATAAGTATACTTTTTTTAAATCTATTTATAATTTATTTGTAATGTCTTTCCATCTGATATTGCAGTTGCATCTGTTTTCTTTGCAAATACTGCATCGCGACAACACATTTTCTGCGAAAGGTCTTACTGTGGATGCGACGTTTCTCACTGCCGTAAGTAACCAATTATTTACCTTAATATGAATTGATTTAAATATTTAAGATCAAAACTATAGCATTTATTTTTTATTTTTTTTAGATGGTGGGTACTATTACTACGTACCTTTTAATTCTAATACAATTCTTGATCACATCGCATTCTTGCGACGGTAAGATTGCAATCAATGTTATACACTCGAATTAAAAAAAATATTAATAAAAGACGCATTTTGAAAAATTTAAATATTATCCTTATTGTATCAATAGTTTGTACATCATAGAAAGTTAAGTAATCATATCAAAAATAAATTTAATATTTAATCAAATAACTTATTGGAGGTATATTTGCAATTCAAATATTATTTATTTTTTTAGGGATAATTTCATTAAATTTTCGATGAAAAACGTAACATGATCGATGCATTATTACAAAGATAACGCGCGCGTTTGCCTCTTTCAAAACTCTACTTTCCTTTATTATTGCAAAAGTAAAAATTATTATCTTAAAATATTTTTGTCCATATCTCATAATGTGGTTTGAAAATTGATAACTTCATCGATTAGAGTATTACATCTGTTGACTCTAATTTAGATAACTATATAGATTAATTCTAATCTAATTATTCTAATTTAATAAAACAAGTAATAATGATCAAATATTATAATACGTTGAAAAATAATATTACAAAAATATGTATACAAAGCAAAATTTAATCTCAATATAGTGATTCAAAAATGTTGAATATTCCGGTATAAAATTGGACAGTCAATATTAATAAATCTTTCAAAACTAGTAATTAATATAGATAACATTTTCAAATATAATTTTCAAATATAATTCTCCTAATGGGCGACGTAATTGTCCAAAGTGATATGAGTCATATACTTATTACATCAATTAAATTCCATTACTTTATGTGCACCCATCAAGGGTGATACATGCTGTTCGAAGAGCTCCATGGTTACTTCATGCCAACAAATGATGCGCGAGTCATGTTTTATGATCTGTAGCAGCAACTTGCAGTTTTAAACTTAAACTCAGCACGGACGGTTAGTGGATTTCGCACTCGTTGCAAAAAATAAAGACTACGTCAGAACTACGTTCAGAAAAGAAGCTTTCGCAGTCACGCTCATGTTAATACTGAAGTGCTTATTACTGACAATAAAACACTTACATAATTGATAATAGGACTAACAATTTTCAAGCAATTATTTCATAAAACTTCGATCATGTTCAGTCTGTCATCGAAATTCCAAGAACAAGTTAAGAATAAGAAGAAAAGAAAGAATTGCTGGCTATTCCATGCCACGGATTTTCAATCCTTAATGAATCCTTGTTTCGCTTTTTGTCGCATTCTCGGAATATTCCCGTACAAGATCAACGGCTCATCCTTCGAAACTTCTAAACCATGCTACTTTCTATCAGCTATAGTTATGTGTGTCTTCTGCTTTTGTGCTCTGATAATAATAATGGATATTGCTAAATTCAATGTCCAAAACGTACGCAGAACCATTGAACTTTACTCCTTTTACATTTTCGGTAGTTTTATAACGGTCGTCACGTATATTTTGAACAGTCCACGAGTGCGCTTGCTTCAGACCATACTGAAGAACTCTTCAAAACTTCCTTCGAAGACGTATCAGGAACAATCTGTGATGATCCACGTCAAGGACATTGTCGGTTTCTTTTTTTTACTCGTGTATTCGTTAATCTGTTATTACAGAGCGCAACACTCTATCTTGATCAAGGTGTCTTCATTATACATTATTCTAGTACTGTTTCAGATGAATATGCTGTACATAAATTGCGTTTGCGTATTAAAAGCTTGTTTCAAGAAAATCGACTTCGATTTGGCACATTTACTCATAACAAACGATGAACCGCATTTAGTCAAGTGGATCTATCGTGAGCAGAAAAACCCTTTGTTACTGATGGAGCTCAAGGCCCTGAAGAAGCAGTATTTGATGGTTAGCGATTCAGTGCAGGTGCTGAATATAATTTTCAGTCCGCAGCTCCTCGCAACCATTGCTATAGCCTTCACCGAGATTACTTTCGAGCTATATTTCAATATAGTGCAGTGGCAAAATGGGTTGTCTATCAGGTGGAAGCAGACTGATTTCATATACACAATGATCTACGTTATGTATTATCTTATGAAAATAGCATTGATTGCATGGGCCTGCGAAACCGGCAAAAATGAAGCCATAAAGATTAGCACTACTGTTCACGATGTGCTTAATAGCACCAGCGACGAACAAATCAAACATGAGGTACAAACATTTCAATTTCTATTTGTCGCTTTTAATATTCCGTATAGTGATGCAATTTTTTTTATTTAAAATATAAAACAATTTATAATTACTTTTATATATCAGTAAATGTCTTTTTATCTGATTTTGCAGTTGCAGCTGTTTTCTTTACAAATAATGCATTGTAATAAAAAATTCTCTGCGAAGGGTCTTACTCTGGGCGCGACGCTTGTTACAACAGTAAGTAAGCAATCATTTGTCACAATTATTCAAATCTTTAAATTAAATTATTTAAATCTTCTGTAAATTAAATTATAGTATTTACTTTATAATTTTGTTTTTAGATAATAAGCACTATCGCTACATATTTTTTAATTTTAATGCAATTCTTGATTGCGTCGCATTCCTGTGAGGGAAGGATTATAATCAACGTTACACGAGCGCAACCTAAAAATTAGCAAATAAAGCAAATATCCAATAAAATTTACAAATAATCTTATAAAAAAAAACCGTACGCATCTCTATCATGATACTTCATTCCTTGTTTTATGGAGCAATTCTGACATTACCGAATATTTGCCGCCACAACGAATATTTTCATAGACACTTGACACAGAATCGAAGAATTGATGTTTCTGCTCATTAGAAAAGTGAAGACTAGCCCGCATATTATGGGCTTGCACTCGGGATAGGATCGGATTGATATAATAGTCACAGTGAAAGCAACGTATACAATATTTGCTCGTTCTTTAGTGAAACTTTATCGTCTTCTGATAGAGCAAGCAAAAAAAGATATGCTTAAATGATCATTCATTTTTCGTCAAACACGTGTGGAAGAGATGTTCGGGAAGCAGTTACTTTCTCTCAAAGCAAATATGGAAATCAATTTTTGCGGTAATATGTTTATCTATGCAATCACACACATTAAATAGTAATTTGATAAATTATTAATAATTTTTTATCTCAGTTTACAGTGTAGGCCAACAGTTCTTCTTTCTACACACGGTTCTTCAGAAGCTTGGTATTTCTTTAAACGCCAAAGCCCCAGCTAAGGAGCAATAGTTTTATTAGCGTTTTCATGGATCTACAGTTTGCGAAATTAAAATTTGATTCTTAATTTATCAAAGAACCCGTAAGTAAAAAAAAGCATACAATATATCTTGCAATATTATTCGTATCATAATACTCAATATTAAATAGAAATCGAGATTAATTTCTTATATGTTAATAGTCTCGCCGAAAAATAATTTGTAATTATTTTTAATAAAGTAAAAATGTGTACTGATATTTTTATATTACAATACAATACAATTTTAATACTCAAAAAAACAATAACATATTACAATAATGTAGTGCATAACGAAGCAAAATTTAATCTCAAAATGGTTATTCAAAAATGTAGACTAAACCTAATTTGAAATTGGATAGTCGCTATTAACGAATCGTTAAAAAATTAGTAATTTATGTAAATGCCACATATTCAATGCTTCCTTTTTTAGATGTGCAAATATACGTATTTTCCTAATGAGTGATCTAGATGTACAAAGTGATGGGTCATACCGATTACAGCAATTACCATTATTTTATGCTTTGTATCCCAAGGGTGATATGTGTTGCTCGAAGGATTCCATGGTTACTTCACGGGTAACAAATGATTCTTGAGTTACGTCTTCAGGTTCATAGCAAGAACTTACAGTTTTAAACTGAAACTTACCGACTACGGATAGGCCTTAAAGAATTTATATCAGTTCCTGCTTTCGTTGTGAAAAAAACAAAGTAGAAGACTACGTTTAGAAAAAAATATTTTTGCAATCGCTCACATTAAAACTGAAGTGCTCGTAGTGAAATAATCATAATTGATAATAGGACTAATAATTTTTAAGCAGTTTTTCTACGATACTTTACTAATGTTCAGTTCGTTATCGAAAGAACGAGTCAGGGGCAAAAAAGAAAGGAGATGGCGGCTATTCCACGCCACGGATTTTCAATCCTTGATGTATCCCTGTTTCATCTTATGCCGTATTCTCGGAATATTTCCGTACAAGATTAACACATCGTCCTTCGAAATTTCTAAACCGTGCTACATTCTGTCGACTGTTATTAAATGTGTCACCTGTTTTTACACGCTAATAATTCTCTATGAGATTAACAGTGGATTGTTCAAAGTCAGAAGCTTACGTCGGATCATTGAGGTCAGCGCCTTCTATGTATTCGGCATTTTCATAATAATTGTCACTTGCATTTGGGATGGTCCACGAATGCGTTTGCTTCAGACATTACTAAAAATCTCTTCAGGACTGCCTTTGGAGTCATATCAGAAACCATCTATATTGATCCACGCAAAGGATATTTCCGGTTTCCTTTTCTTACTTGTGCAAACAATGATCTGTTTCAACTTGCTTCCTGTCTTGCATGTGGTGTTTACATTCCACATCACTCTGATAGTGTTTCAGATGGATATGCTTTACATGAATTGTGTTTGTGTATTAAAAATTTGTTTCAAGAAAATCAATGACGATCTGGAGAACCTGCTTGTATTGATCAACGAACCACATTTATTCAGACGGTTCTATCACGAACAGAGAAATCCTTTCTTCCTGATGGAACTCAAGGCTATAGAGAAGCGTCATCTGATGGCCAACAACACATTACAGATGCTGAATATAATCTTCAGTCTGCAGCTTTCTGCTACTGTAGTCATAACCTTCACTAGAATCACTTTTAGCCTGTACTATTGTTTACAATTAGTACTGTGGCCAAACGTACATATAACCAGTTCAGAAAAACTGATTTCTCTCACGCTTTTCTTCACGTCTATAGCGTATTACTTTATAAAAATAGCGCTGATAGTATGGACATGCGAGACCGGCAAAGATCAAGCCATTGAGATTGGCATTACTATTCACAACGTGCTTAACAGGATTAACGACGAGCAAATTAAAAACGAGGTAATCAAAAATTGGTAAATTTATTTGTATATTATTTCCAAAATGTCTCATGTATTATTGCGATTTTTGTACATTTAAACTAGCTAATTTGTTATATTACTTTTATATTTAATTACTTTTCGATTTGACGTTACAGTTGCACCTGTTTTCTTTGCAAATACTGCATACTAGCAAAAATACATTCTCCGCGAAAGGTTTCACTATGGATGCACCACTTCTTGCTACAGTAAGTGATTAATCATTTACCTATATTAATTCAATATATATTTCTTGTAATATGTATTTCTTTTGCTTTCAGTTAATAGGAAGCATCACCACGTATCTATTAATCTTGATACAATTCGCGAACATATCGAATTCTTGCAACGAACAATTTAAATTTTCCAATATTACACAGACAACGTAATTCAATGAAAATACGTAATTGAACAAAAAAATATATTTCTAAATATTGGAAATATTTTGTTATCGTCGTAAATAGTACGTCATCTAATATTTTATACTTGTATAGATATTATTCCACATATAATGCACAAAAACATTAAAAAATGTTATATTAATTGTGAACAAGAAATAGAAAATAAATAAATATTTATTAAATTAAATATTTGTTATATCAATTAGAAGCTTATAATATAATAATAATTAAAATTTAATATTATATTACGCCAACATTTTGCACTTTTGCATCATGTTCGATAGAAAAAAGGGAAGGAATTCTTTCTCCGATGAATAACAAAATATTTGCGTAATACGAGACAAGATTGTTCCGCATTACGAGTGTCGATGATACGATATCGGGGCGAATGAATTTCATTACAGCCGGCGGACGCGTTTAATGCAGAGCAGCTCCTTGGCGGTCTAAAGGCTGGATAGGCCAACTCAGCACCCTGATATTTCTTTGAATAGAGATCTGTGTCGTGCGATAGGCTCGCATAAAAGACGGGGGTGAAGACGGAAGGAGCTCTATCTTACCCTTTCATTCGCCCACTCCTCGCCGTAGTTCTAATGTCACTTAGCATATTACCACTCTCTGTTCCTTTAGACTCGAATTTTCACGCTCTACCTCTTACAGATAAATCCCGTAGTCCTAAACTCGTTAGCGAACCGAACTAATATTTGTAAGTGACACCAAGTGTGAAATAAAGTAACGCAATCTTAAAACGAAACGTGCGCCGTCATGATTAAGGTTTAGATGTCGAGATAGATCTCGCTATAGACATTATTTAATTTAATATAATTCCATAGCAAAATTCCTATCAGATTATTAAACTAAAATGTGACATATATGAAATGTATATTAATACAATATAATACATTATATATAATTATATAATTATTTAAATGTACTGTATAACTCGGGCATGATATATATTTCTTCTCGCTATTAACAATCATAAGAATCTCTCTACCTCTTTAACTTAATTAGCTAAATCTCGCTGCTAAATTATTATTTCTCCTTTTCCAATCTCTCATTATTCACTATGATCTGTACCATAATTATTTAATTAATCCCCATATTGTGGTCGAAAGGAATTAATCTCCCGAGACGCAATAAACGTTTTATGTCTATGTCTACGTCCGATCGAGCGAGGTCGTGTCAGAATCGCGAAATAGCACTGAACTCGACGCGAGTAACCCGGGAATAATCCGTCACCGTAAAAACCGCGTTGTCCGCTACAAGTCCCAATGGCGGGACGGCGAAGACATTAAATCCCGGCAACACAAGGCGTTAGACCAGACGGACGACGCGACGTAGCAGGGAAAGTGAACCGCGCGAAGGTACACGCCGAACTGGGAGCGGAACGAAAACCCACGGCAAACTCAATTTTCCGCGTTAACTCGGCCGACGAGAAGATCGTAACGAGAGTCCGGCCCGATCGCTTAATATTCATGGAGGCGTGGCAAGCGGGTTTTAGTGTTTCTCTTCGGCGCGCCGGCCGGCCAAGTGGGTTTATGGCTGTTTCCACTTCGAAACCACCCGTCGCGGATCGGGCGCGTCGAAACGACGCGTTTCACCCGCGAGAATTCGCTCCCCGACCGCCAATGTATCTTTATTCACATTAGTACTCGCGAGATTGCGAGATTGCGAGAGCAAGAATGAAGAAACAAAAAAATTTTCTATCGGTAGTCGCAATTTTCCGTTTCAAAGAACTCATCTTAAGCGCGTAGTCACTAGCAATCAGATTTAATGGGTGATTCACAGTAATAGAAGATAGCTTTCAGCTTTGTCGGAATGTATCATCGTTGATTGCTGAAAATGCAGATGTAATGACGATTGTTGCAGCAATTCGATTGATCAGCATAGCCAAACAATACGAGATCTAATCGGCACACACATTGCATTTCGCCAATAACGGCCGATTCTGATTGACTGTCAAAATACCATTTGAAATTATAATACTAACTAAGAGTTGTCGATCCAATTGCATTTGGTGTCGCTTTGATGGGACACTTCGTCTGGAATTTGGAACATTCTAGCACGATAACCGTGAATATTCCCGTGAATAAAAAAAAGAATGGAAATGAGAAGATTGAGAGCTAATATCGACATCAATTATCACGTGAGTAAAATCGTTTTAAATTATCGTTTAAAGACTAAATTAAATTGCTAAAAAATAATTATGACCATTTATTTAACCATTACAACCATTTATTAATTAATTTATTATCCATCGTCCGGTAATTACACGTTGTAGCACTTTTCTATACAAAATTTTGCACATATTTTTAATATTTTTCAAACAAAAAAGAGAGACAAAGAAAAATATGTTGTATTGCCGGGCGGTATTAGTAGAAAAAATAACTTTACGCATACTTTTCCAGCGCGATGTTAGTATGCGCAATTCGTAGCACAAATCACCGCTTCGAGAAGGGCAATTATTGCGTGAGTGGTTTAATTAAAGGGCATGCCGGTATAATAAGCGCGTTATATTTGAGCTACTAAAATCAGGTATTAATAACCGATGTTTTAGATCCGTTCGGAAAACATCGAGAACGCGTCACCGGACGCGAATTTTACGCATCTGGATGTTAAGCGGCGTAGAGCGGATTTTTTTATGTCACTTCACATGTAAACCGACGTTTTTTTTGTAAAACAAGGGCACGAGTTCGGCTGCGCACATACGAGAAAGGGTTTTGTGCGCTTCAAGAGCTGACGAATCGGTAGTCGCAACAAGGACGAGGACGCGACGCAACTGTTATCAAAAATAGGAGATAAAAACCGGAGTCGAGGGAAAGAATGGTAACAGCGAAACGCGAGAGTATTATCATTCATGGATTCCTATCTCGCGATCAAGTGATTTTAATGATTAACGTTGTATTTTTAATCCCGCTCTTTTCTTAACGTTAGAACTTTCCAACATTTTTATAAACATGTTCGCGCGATTTGAGAAAAATATACATTTTTTTATTTAAATCTAGTTAAGATCTGCTGCAGTTTTATTTTTAAAAATATAAACGTGCACTATTCAAAATATCAAATACAGTAACAGCTGAGGAAAAAATATCGGTAGATTAAATATCGAACTTATATAATAATTGAATTAATATTATGATGAAGTGAGATATCTTTCTACATGGACTCTGGCAATTTTTATTTTTTTCGATTAATCTGAGCTGTATTTCAAACAATTTTTATATATCCAATTGCCTCAATTCTAAATAACTGTATCGCAAACAATTATTATATCAAAATAAGAAAAGGTATAATTTCAAGATCGTTTCTTGATAAAAAAGAATTTCCTATGTATACGTATATACATGCATGTGTAAATAACGAATGTTTATCACCAAAAAGTAATTACGAAATTATCGTTCTCAGACTCACTTTGATATGTTAATCATGCTCGCTGTTAAATTCATAGTGTCAAATTATACTCAATTTGAGTCATTTTTAACCATTCCTATAAATCGTTTTTACTCTTACTCAATATCTCGTCAATTTAAGTGAAATAATGTTACTTTAACTAAACCAATAGAGTTAATTTAACTAAAACAATGTTACTTACGTATACGTTACATTACGTATATACATGCATGTGTAAATAACAAATGTTTATCACCAAGAAGTAATTACGAAATTATCGTTCTCAGACTCACTTTGATATGTTAATCATGCTCGCTGTTAAATTCATAGTGTCAAATTATACTCAATATCTCGTCAATTTAACTAAAACAATGTTACTTTAACTGAACCAATGGAGTTAATTTAACTAAAACAATGTTACTTTAACTAAACCAATGGAGTTAAAATAATACTGTTTAAAATAATAAATTTCGACATACATGGTAGAGTTAAAAGTAACAAGATGTTATTTAACTCAAAGTATTGGTTTAAATTGTATCCTTTAATATTTAACAGTGTTCTATTCACGCTTCTATTACGTAGAATCCAAAGGGAAATATAAAGAGCTGTCCAAAAGTAGAACTTAAATTAACATTGAAAGGCAAAATAAAAATAACCAGCACTATATACAGACATCTTATTCTATTCCATATCGATTTAAGTATTTCATAGAGATCTATTGGACAGATATTACATGGGTTTGACATATTAATTGCCACACGTTACAGAATAACAATTACACGTGCAAAGATTACTCCCAATATAACGTCAGATTCGAACAATTTGTTTTCTGGTTTTCTCAACGGGGTCAACGAGAGTCATAAATCAAAGAGTGAACGATAGTGTGGATGCTTCCAATCAATTAGGCGCACTCGTGAAAGAAACGGCTTCGTTGATCGAAACGCTCTCGTTATTCTCCGCATAACGAACAAAGCGGTTTCTTTGAAACCTCAATGCAACCCACGCATTGTCTTTCAGCATTGCCATTGAAACAAATGTCATGTGAAAGTGCATCTTCGTAATTTCAATTCTGTATTTTTTTTGTGCAAAAGGATCTAATACTTTTAAATAAGCGCTAATTAAAATAAACTTCAAATGCAATGCAAATATAAATCCTATTATTATATCAGAAGAAGGAAGATATATAAATTCAATCTCTCCATAAGAAATTGAGATATTTTGCTTTATATACATTTTTCATCTATCCAAATACGAATATGTTTTTTAAATCCAATTTAAAAAGTTACGAATGTTTCGGAAATATTTAATCAACATTTATTTCATGAAAAATAATATCTGCTTCTGGAAATGGATAATTAAAATTAATTAGAATGTATTACTATGATATAGAATTACGAGAAAAATATTTATCAAAATTGCGCTTGCTATTATGTAAAATTGTAGAATCTACTTATATGACACTTTAGTAAAAAATTTGTCAATTTTAGAACGCTGCATTGTGTCTTACGAAAAACTGATATCTCTGCTAATGTGTAAGCATTGTGGTATACGTAAATCCTTCTCTCGTTGGAAGATATCGCGTGTAGCTGATATAATCACGATCGTGGATTGTA